AGTTCTTCGTATATTTAAGCCTCCAGTCCCCTAATCATCTTGGTTGCTCTTCTCTGCATTCTTTATAGAGTCTCCACATCTTTTCTACATCATGGTGACCAAAACTGAATGGAGTATTCCACGTGTGGCCTTACCAAGTGGTATTAACCCTTCACGTGATCTTGATTCTCTCCCTCTGTTGATGCAGCCTAGAATTGTGTTGGCTTTTTTGGCAGCTTCTGAACACGGCTGGCTCCTATTTAAATGGTTCTCCACTCGGACTCCAAGATCCCTCTCACGGTTACTACTATTGAGCAAGGCACCATCTTTACTGTACCTGTGCTTATCATTATATTATACAATTATATTATAAATTAGCTTATACTAGTTGATAACCTGGCATTGCCGGGGTATTTATTTATAGGGGGAAATATCCGGACCAAACATAATTTCTAATGTTGGATTTCCCCCCTTACTAGAGGGAGCCCTCATGTGGAGTACTGTGAAGCCATGGCAACTCCACTGCGCTGTACAGTAGAATCCGTTTTGCGCCAGTACAGCAGAAGCCATTTAAAGGCACAACAGGTTGTATCTTAACAGACCGCACACTCTGTGGGGTGTTAGGGGGTGTCTTAGCCCCACAGTATCCGTTTCCAGAGCGCAGGTCATCTGTGTACCAAATTTAGTTGAAATTGCTCGAGGTGTTCCAGAGTTATGCTGGAATACACACAAATACACCCATTTAATCATATTCTGTTGTTTAATTTATTATCTACCATATTTTATTTGACAGGTGCCACCCAACGGCCTAAAAGCAAAATAACTCTCTAAGCACAACATAAAACATGAAACAAGATGCCCAATGCAGTCAGTTCAAGGCCAGGGAGAACATCTGGGTCTCCAGTGCCCTCCAGAAGGCCCCAGGACAGGAGCTCTCAAATCTCAGGCCCAACTAGGGAGCATCCTCAGTGCTGAAAAGTGAGAGGGGGGGCTCACTCTAATTCCCTTGTTTGTCTGAGTTGGAAGTTCCTTGGTTGGGTACCCAGAACACTTCTCCCCAACACTAGAAGCACAAGCCACGTATGTAAAAATGAAGAACAAGACCCTCTCTTTGTTGTGGCCCACCAGCTGCCAGCGGAGATGGCAGCAGATTCGGAGAGCGAGGAGGCTGGGGAGGAAGATGGGCCAGTCCTGGAGTCTGGGGAAGGCTCGGATGAGGGCTCTGCGTCGGAGGCAGAGAGGGGGCCAGGGCCGTATGCCAGCTATCAGCTGCCTTCAGAGTCAGACATCAGTGAGGCAGACAAACAGCTGGAGCCTGTTCCCAGTGTGCGCATGTGCAGAGTTGCTAAATGAAGGGAACCGCTAAAGAACAGGGGTCGACTTGGGAGTGAGGCCACAGGTGGATGGCGGATGGCCCCTCCCAGAGGGAATCAAAGAGGAGCAAAAGGGGAGTGGAGTTTGCAGGAGACCATTAGTTCATTCCTGCATTCTTGCCGGCGTCTGAAAGATCTCGGCCTGGCCCCTCTCCAAGCCTGAGAAAGGTCGGTAATTGTGAACTATCTGGAAAGACTGTGGGAGGGGAAAGACTTTGCTGGAGAGGAATTCAACATCAATTCAATAAAAGGGGTTTCTCGGGACGAGGACTCGGCTTCGTGTTGCTGGGGAAGCCGAGGTCAGAGCACGCTCTTCTAGCACTGATGAAGTTACCTAGTTGGGTCATGAAACATCCTGAAGGAAAACAGCCCAGTTTGGAGAGCACCAAGGATCCCCCCCCCCATAGTCCTCCTCCAATTCCTCCTCACAAAACCTGCTTCCTTCTAGCACTGATGAAGTTACCTAGCTGGGTCATGAAACGTCTGCAACAAAACAGCCAAGCTCAGAGCGCACCAGGGACCCCACATTTCAATCCTGAGCGCCAAATGTTAGAAAAAGTGCACCCCCAAATTACCTTTCCCTGCTCCGCCGGCAGCTGACTTGTTTTGTGCTTGCGAGGCGGCAACATACGGGCCTTTGCTGTAGTCTCCAGCCGCCGGCCCCTGGGTGAGGTCGTCATAGCCTGAGGGGGAGAGGGGAAAGGAAGAACGGGCATTTTTGTGGTGGCTGTCACAATTGCAACTGTGCGCCGAGTATCGCAGCCCTGAAACTGTAGCGTTACATTCCTCGGTTCTAAATGATAATAACTATGATTATCTCCAATACTGGAAGAAGGAAGATTTGCCTACAATCCAAGAATGGACATTGAAAGTCACTGTCAGCTTCTGCTTTGCTGCTGCTTCAGCTGCCATGAGACGGGAAGGGGGGGGC